CAAGCTAGTAAAAAAAATGGAACCGAAATCAAGAACTCTGGACAATTATCTTTTTGTTGTCAAAATAATAATAATCATAATCATAATGATAATCATAATCAAAATAATAATAATAATAATTAATAATATGATTATTATTTTTATTATGATTGTTATTATGATTATAATAGAAAATATCCACGGGAAGCGATTCCCTTTCAAATTTTAGATCAAATCAAAAACTTGGTTTTCTAATGTTTATACAGTTTGTGCAATTGCATTCAATCCTCCAAGAGCATGCGTTTCCTTCATTGAATTCTTCTTTGAAAAACCTACAATATAAACTTTTAGGGATGTTTTTGATGTTTTCGCTGTCGATGATGTCATCCTTCAAATAGTCGTTAAAACAATTTTTGGAAATCATAATTTTGGTTCTTTCAAATTTTTTCAAGCTCAAGCGTCTTGTTTGTCCTTTTTCTTTATTTCAAATAATCTTTTCCCACTGCAGGTCTGTTTGGCCATTGATAATTTAATGCAGTAGAAATGAAATGTGTATTTCATAAAGTGACAGCGGCAGAACCATAAGTTGAATTATTCGGCCTTTGTAATCATGATATGCCCCTGTAATCCATACTGTTGCTTTCCTTTGCACTTTTTCGATGATTTTAAGATCGTATTTTGATGGTTCCCTTACAGCTGAGCCATAGATAACAATCGGGGCAACATATGTTTTGTATGCTTTTAGTTTTATATGCTTTGTTGTTAATTTCGAGATACTCCTTTAACAACATATAACGCCTTTAAAGCTATGACTGATCTTGTTTTTGAATTTACACTCAAGTTCGAATGATTAATGACTTTAAGTCCGAGGCATTTCAGTTCGTTTACTTCCACGATTATTGTATTACTGACTTCCACATTGTACTATCTTTGCTGCCAAGTTTTTTAGTTTTTGAAATAATTACTTCCATCAAGTTTTTGGTGCACCAACTCCATATTCTTTTTGCGTCCATGTTGATCGTTACAGGGTTATTCAATAGAATTTTGTATTCATCAGCATAGCCAAAGCGGTCATTTACATTGAGTATGAACATCAAAGGTCCGAGAATGGACCCCTGAGATACACCACTGTATGCGGGCAAATCATCATAAACTGCTCGTTCGACGGTTTGTTTTCTATAACACAGGTAATTTTCGAATAGTGAGCAAAACCAAAACTCCTCATCTTTCAATAACCATCCTAGAAATAAAGACTTTGATCCCAGAAAAGCAAATAAAAACTTCAAGCATTAAGTCAGCTTATAGTACCATCTACCAGCAGCAGCTTAGCTGAAAACACTTAAGACTTCCACTGATCGGACAAGGTAAAAAGAAAAACAAGACCTAAAGAACCTTCTCACTAAAAAACATTTGGCAACTGTCTTTTAAAACTTGAAAACCACAACCGTCGTGAATAATATTTTTGAAACTTTAATTATTTTTTGCTTTTCAAACGACAACACAAAATAATTTGAATGAACCAGTAAAACGAGTTGAAATCATTGTAGCAAAAAAAAAGAGAAATAAAGTATAAACATAAAAATAAAAAAATCCTTCAAACATACTAAAAAAACAAAGAGCCAACCATGACTCAAACGCCAGAACTTAAGGGGCAAAGCAACTGTAAAAAGACTGCTCGTATATCATGGCAAAGCCCTGAATGTTCCAACTGTACCCTACTTCATATCGAATAATTTTTGGGGAAAAAATATTGAAAATCTATAAACTTTGACAAATTTTTTTTGAGTCGTATTAAATTAATACCATTTATCTAGCCTTAATTAAATTTGGAACAATTTTGTTTTGCGGCATAAATTGCCACGCATAAATAGTTCGCGTTACGCTTTCAGCATTACGAATAAACTCTTCAAATCGCGCATAATTTAATCCAGAACATTGCCAATTTGGCAATTTTCAAACCCCCAGAACTACAAAAATAATCGGAGGTAAAATATCTTTCAGATTAAAATATCTTCAAAAAGTCGCTATTTTCATGGGATTTAATAAAATTTTGTCGAAAACTTTTAACTGCGATCAGAGAAAATTAACTGAATACAAAAAACCACACAGCATAAATATTCCGTTTTCTTCGAAATTAGGAACAATAATAAAGCTAGTTTATCTTCCGAGTTGATATTTAGAGTCCGAGTTGATAAACTGTCTAGAAAACAGGATGACTGTAAATCATACATTGCTTGATTCGGAAAAAAACTGATGCTTTGGAAATTAACTTGACACAAAACAAAAAGACAGAAAAAAAGAAGTAACGACAATTCAATTTATCCAGAAAAAATTATTTCATACATACTAAAAAAACAAAGAGCCAACCATGACTCAAACGCCAAAACTTAAGGGGCAAAAGCAACTGTAACAAGACTGCTCGTATATCATGGCAAAGCCCTGAATGTTCCGACTGTACCCTACTTTATATCGAATAGTTTTTGGGAAAAGAAAATATTGAAAACCTATAACCTTTGACAAAATCAAAGTGTAAAATTTTTTTGGGTCGTACCAAATTAATACCAGTTATCTAGCCTTAATTAAATTTGGAACAATTTTGTTTTGCCGCATAATTTGCCACGCATAAATAATTCGCGTTACATTCTCAGCATTACGAATAAACTCTTCAAATCGCGCATAATTTAATCCAGAACATGGCCAATTTGGCAATTTTCAAACCCCCCGAACTACAAAAAAAATCGGAGGTAAAATGTCTTTCAGATTAAAAAATTTTTCAAAAAGTCGATATCTTCATGGGATATAATAAAATTTTGTCGAAAACTATTAACTGCGATCAGAGAAAATTGACGAATACAAAAAACCACACAGCATAAATATTCCGTTTTCTTCGAAAATAGGAAGAATAATAAAGCTTGTTTATCTTCCGAGTTGATATTTAGAGTCCGAGTTGATAAACTGTCTAGAAAACAGGATGACTATAAATCATACATTGCTTGATTCGGAAAAAACTGATGCTTTGGAAATTAACTTGACACAAAACAAAAAGACAGAAACAAAAGAAGTAACGACAATGCAATTTATCCAGAAAAAATTATTTCATACATACTGAAAAAACAAAGAGCCAACCATGACTCAAACGCCAGAACTCAAGGGGCAAAAGCAACTGTAACAAGACTGCTCGTATATCATGGCAAAGCCCTGAATGTTCCAACTGTCCCCTACTTCATATCGAATAGTTTTTGGGAAAAGAAAAAATTGAAAATCTATAAACATTGACAAAATCAAAGTGTACAATTTTTTGAAAACCTATAAACTTTGACAAAATCAAAGCCTAAAATTTTTTTGAGTCGTACTAAATTAATACCAGTTATCTAGCCTTAATTAAATTTGGAACAGTTTTGTTTTGCGGCATAATTTGCCACGCATAAATAATTCGCGTTACATTCTCAGCATTACGAATAAACTCTTCAAATCGCGCATAATTTAATCCAGAACATGGCCAATTATTTGGCAATTTTCAAACCCCCCGAACTACAAAAAAATCGGAGGTAAAATATCTTCCAGATTAAAATATCTTTCAAAAAGTCGATATCTTCATTGGATATAATAAAAATTGTCGAAAACTATTAACTGCGATCAGAGAAAATTGACTGAATACAAAAAACTACACAGCATAAATATTCCGTTTTCTTCGAAAGTAGGAACAATAACAAAGCTTGTTTATCTTCCGAGTTGATATTTAGAGTCCGAGTTGATAAACTGTCTAGAAAACAGGATGACTGTAAATCATACATTGCTTGATTCGGAAAAAAATTGATGCTTTGGAAATTACCTTGACACAAAACAAAAAGACAGAAAAAAAAGAAGTAACGACAATTCAATTTATCCAGAAAAAATTATTTCATACATACTCAAAAAACAAAGAGCCAACCATGACTCAAACGCCAGAACCCAAGGGGCAAAAGCAACTCTAACAAGACTGCTCGTATATCATGGCAAAGCCTTGAATGTTCCAACTGTCCCCTACTTCATATCGAATAGTTTTTGGGAAAAGAAAAAATTGAAAATCTATAAACATTGACAAAATCAAAGTGTACAATTTTTTTGAGTCGTATTAAATTAATACCAGTTATCTAGCCTTAATTAAATTTGGAACTATTTTGTTTTGCGGCTTAATTTGCCAAGCATAAATAATTCGCGTTACGCTCTCATCATTACGAATAAACTCTTAAAATCGCGCATAATTTAATCCAGAACATGGCCAAGTTGGCAATTTTCAAACCCCCAGAACTACAAAAATAATCGGAAGTAAAATATCTTTCAGATTAAAATGTCTTTCAAAAAGTCGATATCTTCATGGGATATAATAAAATTTTGTCGAAAACTATTAACTGCGATCAGAGAAAATTGACTGAATACAAAAAACCACACAGCATAAATATTCCGTTTTCTTCGAAAGTAGGAACAATAATAAAGCTAGTTTATCTTCTTACATAAAGGAATTGTTCAACAGATAACGGAAATTGAGATGACGAAAATTAAAACGAAACTCATTCATGCAAATACTTTTTTTTTCAGTTTTCATTCAAAGAACATTTTTAGTACGTAATTATGAGCAAAGTTGTGATATCAATGCTGTTATATGAAGTTTTCGTATCAGTACTGGCACGTGTTGGAAACAGCACATTTCTTACAGATTTGTGAGAAAGTTGTTTACAGGAAAAAAAGTCTAGTTCGCGATTAAAAGACACTTGCTCTCGCAACAGTTAACTATTTCATTCCAATTCGAGGAGACCTTAAGATTTGAAACTCCAGCAAGTTTTTTCTATCAATTCGATTACTTCTACAGGCGTCAAATTTACTGTTGTTATTTTTCGCCAAAAATCCTAGCGTTTTTTCGACCAAAAACACTCAAACTTATTTCATCGCAACCTCACTTTCGTACACAACCTTTAAATGCTACATTAAAGTTGAGCTCGTTCTTTATGACTCTCTCGGACTGATGGGAACAAATACGACACTTATAGTCACATTTTGTTTATTGATTTTGTTAGAAATATCGGATATAGTGTAAACTTAAACTTTGCAAAAGATATAAATGGCCGACCGTAGGCGAACTAAGATTCAAATAAACTAAACATCTAGAGAAATTTAAACAATGAAAAATATGCAAGTAAACCAAACTAGTCCCGGTAATAACTTATCAATCAATCGGGATCGATCAAGTTACTGCCTTAGTTAAGCGCCCAGTTAATTCCCAGTTTGCATGCCCGTACTCTAATCAACAGACTAAAAATCCCAGATATTAAGAGATTGGATAGATATACGGTCAACGCACCAAATTTTTGGTTTCATTAATGAACTTAATCAGATATTAGATATTAAAATCATTGGGCTTGCAAACACGGACTAAATTTACATAAATGGAAGCGAAGAGAGGATAAATTGAGAAAACAAAAGAAAACTAAAGTTAATTCTACAACAAAAATAATTTATTCGGTTTTGCTTTGCGTTTGGATTAGTATACATATATGCACAGCCAATGCAAATTAGTCAACTTTTTTCAATTCACTGAAAACCTGGGAAGAAACACGATAATAAGCGTCATATCTGAAACCGTGGATTTTTTAAAAAACATTCCTTGCTTGTGGATTCCATTCGACCATATAGATTTCTTGATAATACCATTTACTAATGCACAGTAAACATGAATCATAGTATGAGTTAGCACTAAGCATATAGCAGCCAATTTGTTTATTTTGATTTTGTACATTTTGAGTCCCATAAAATCAGAAATGTAATTACAGCTTTCTCTTGACCTGCGTTCTTGATTTCTTACAGGCCGGAATGTAATCCGTGATTTCGGGCTGTCTCGGGCTCTCATTTGAATTCTTCTTCGTCGAACTATTTCCGATTGTTCGTTTTCGGGTTGACATTGAGCTTCGTTGCTTCGGTGTTTCTGATTTTTTCGCAGGCGTCATCTTGAACGGAGTCCTTAGGAGTTGTTGAGACCTTTTGACAGTCGATGACTTCGAGGCACTTCTAGTCGCAGTCGATTCAGGAATCGATCCCAAATTGATCTTCATCGGTGTACTAGTTTGATATTGCGGCACTTCAAACACTGAGCAATTACTACTTGTACTTGCAGTTGAAACCGATTCACACTCTTCCATTTCGTTATCTGCAAGCTGAAGTTTTCCTATTTCGACCATCTTTTTGAAATCTTCCGAGGTAATCGAACTATTGCTACTGTGTCGATCAGCTGTATAAAATGTCGGTAGCTCGGATGGAATTTCCACTTGACTCCATTCGTAAGTTTTTGCACTTCCGTTCTGATTACTCTCAGCAACTGGCTTGAATTTTTCGAAATCAAAGTTGTATTTCCTTTTCGCCGCTTGAAGCTTCTCGACATTGTACTGCTGCATCCAAGATCTCCAAGCGTCTTTGCTTTCAGCTGAGCTCGAAGTGCTGAACAAATTACGACACGCCGGAGATTTCGCCGCGTTTTTATTTGATGGTGACGAAGTAAGTTCAGTCTGGTCTGCACTCATGAAGTTGAGTCGACGAGATGACGTATTCTTGCTTCTGGGTGCAAAGGGTGCTGTCATTTTAACCGACCTTGGGGTTTTCAAAAGTTGTTCAACCACCAACGGGCTAGTTGGCGACAATGGACACTCGATAGTAGACGATGATGCAATAGCTAAATTAGATGAATTTGTTTTGAATAATGACGAATTTAATTGAAAAGGTGATAAGTTAACATCTGCGGATGTTGTTGGAAAACTGCTGAATATTGTGGAGCCTGGGATTATTTTCGAACACATTTTATCATTCAGATGTACAATCTACTTTCAGATTGTATGCAGTTCTGTAGTATATTTACGTGCAGGGGCTGGACTAATCAAGGCAAGGTGTTTTATGCTATTATAATTCAACAGAGTAATCGACTCAGACTTTAAGAATGGCTAGGCTGCGAACTTATTCGATGTAGTAACGATAGTAACTATTTTATAGTTCAGTACTACTCAGTCGATTTAATACCAAGCTGCGTAAATAAACAGATGAGTAAGCAGCACTAAGAATAATCTGGTCCGAAAGATCTCGATATTCGACAAATGAGCGCAAGAATTTCTGCAATTTGTAACAAAGTGATGTTTGCTGAATTTTCGCTCTGTCGCGAATTCCTCCGAGGTGAAGTCTTCAGTCTTGATTAGCAAATATTGGCTGAGAAAATGACTAAAAAAATGTCCACTTTTTTAGATCACGTGAATATACTTTTGAGTATAGCGAGTCAGACAGGATGAAAAATTTTTTTCAATGCTTCCTACTGGGAAAAAACACAGCGAACTGAGTTAACATTATATATATTGAATTATTGTTTAGAAAATGAATGATATGAAATACTCGCTCAACATCAAGTGTGTACGCGTCGGCGTGTCACCAAGTAATAACGCGTGTCGCTACTCGCTCCTTTTTTTGCTATTTTATAACAAAAAAATAATAAATTTTAATGCGACTTTACTGTTTGTATTTGCGCGATCAATTTTCAAAAAGGAAATTTAAGTATAATTTAAATTTGCGTTATTGGGAGCAAACGATTTGTTGATATCAGCTGGCGATGAAATATGTCACCAAGTCAGTGCTTTTAAACACGGAAGATTCTTTTATTGGACTAATGAAGCGTCGATAAATGAAAGTACAACTCAAGTTTCCAGAACTATAAGATCTACTTGTGATCTTTGATTCGATCTAAAGTCCAGCGATTGCAGCTGTGAAAATTGAACTGATACTCCCGATCGATTTGATTTTGTAGCTAATTGAATGAAGAGTTTTCCTCCGATTTGTTAAAGGACAATCAACTATTATGGCTGGTCGTATAAATGCTAAATTCGCCTCCACTTTGAATTTGTAAACGAAGACTTCCGAACAGAACAAGGACTTTCGTGCAATGGGACCTCTATCTATCTGAAATACAAGAAGAATATTCTCAAATGAAGATGAGATTTTTAATCTCAAAGTGGTGGTTTAATTTTAATCCGGATAAGTATCGACTGGTTGGTCAAGTGTTTATGTCGAAATGTGGGTAAAAGATTAGCGCTGGCCAAACAATGCTGCTATTGTTTACAGAAATATCCCATTTATGGATACTCGACCTCATCGATTATAAATATAAACAGTCGTAAAACAACAACACCAACTCTAAATTACTTTTCTTGACTAGCCTAGCCTTGTCAAAGTTACTCCGAAATAGAAGCCAAGTTTGAAACTTAATAGCGCACGTTTTTTTTTAAAAAAAAACCTTAAGATACCACGTCAACATTTCTACACTTCTTGAAAACAATGAAAAGTGCTTGAATTACCCGATAGAACGCCAATTAGCATCCCAGATCAAGAATATTGAATGCTATCCATCACTTATATTCCAAATTGGCATCTATTTCAAAGTCAATACCAACAGTGGGAAAGTATATAAGGACTTAATTAAAAATCATATTGTCAATTGAGATATACCAATATTTGATGCCAACGATATAGATAGACAATTTAGACTTTACGTAGTGACGTCAAAATACTGCCTACAGTTCGGGCCAATTTGAGACTTAACTATCCTTTACAAACATCTAAAAGAGGATGTTTGTTCCTTCCGGATATGGCAATGGGTTCCGGTCCGGTTGTTTATTCCACCGGAGTTGAGCGTGTATTCGGAATCAAAGAAAAGTCCAAACAAACATCCTCTATTTAGATCCGAAAAAGGCATAATTAAATCAGCTTATCAACAAATTTTAAAAAGCTGTCATCATTGCAGGGGCACAACAGCGGTTCGCCGTGATGAGCTGTACAGCTCTTGTGTTGGTCCATTCCCCCGTGGATAAATGGATTGCATGTTCAGGATAATGACATCATTAAACAATCAACTAAACGCAGTAACATTTTCAGGTCAAAAAAATCAAATCCCAAAAACCCAAATTGACGAAGGGTTCAATTCTTTAATGGTTTTTGTTAATAATCGATTTGTAAATTATTTATGTTTTCTGGATTTGCAACAGATGAAAAAACAAATGATTCCGACTTCTTAACTTGTTTTTGTGTTTCAAAATGAACTCGAAAAAAAAGAATCAGCTTTTAAATTTAACCACCCATTACTACAACAACAATTAAACAAAAAAGTCGGAACAATGACTCACCAAGTTGATGCGGTCAATGAAACAAATATCAAAAACACAATGAAAAAGCAGAACTTTGCTTCATGAGCTCTGGGAGGAGAGGGAACAATCTGACAATAAATTCAGCTTGAGTTCAAAATAATTCTGGGAATAAAAATTGGGTAAATTCGTGATCGAACAAGACTTTTCCAGGCATTCAAGATTAACAGGGCAAGCTGGAAAGATCTCGTCGAAAATTTAACGACAGACGTGATTTAGATGTTCGAGTTGTAGACTAGTTTCTGGACAGTTACGTTGCGCGAATGAAAGTCATGCCTTTTCCGAAAATTCTTTCTATCTTTAGTATTTAAGCACTGAATATCAACCAAATTTGGACGGTTGTATATACTAAATTTCAGTCATTTTACCCAACCGTACACTAGAAATCTTCCAATGAAATCGTTACAAATCCTTAAACCCGCTTGCCGCCTTACAATTTTACATTTTAGGATCTATACCTGGTTAACTTTTGCAGAAAGTCGGCCCGTTCCTGCAATTTTCAAGAATTTCTGCAACTTGTACTACGTATAGTGACATGAACATGGCTATGCGACACTTCAGCAGGTTCGATAGCCAATCAGATTCGAGGACGTAGGAGCCAACAAGCACCAATACTTTTGGTGACTAGGTGTTCAAATATAGTAACAGCCAAACGTGGAACAAACCGCGGGCTTTGGTGGGAATGGATTACGATGGAATAACTTAAGCCGACTTTCTAGGCTGGCAGGCAAGTCAGACCTTTCATACATGGGGTTTCGTAGTAGTCATTCCAAATGGTAGCATAACTCCAGGAGCACCGTTATCTGCTATTTGTTAAATTACCCCCATGTGAAATATATATACCTCCGAAACTGATCCGGTAGATATACAATGAAAACAGAAAAGGCGAAAGACCTTCAGTTCGTCACGTAAACTTCATAAAAGCACCAGAATGTAGTAAATAATATGAACTTCAGAAGGGTGGCTACTCAATGCCTTCTACTGCCTTCACTTATAATACCAATAGACGGCAAATAACAGCTACTTCTAGCAAGAATTTATGAGAAACGACCCGCGAAATTTCCGAAGAGTTCGATTTTGATATTGTACGCACGGAATTTTCCAGAAATTGCCCAACTGAAAAGCACGAAACTTTTCACATATAACTGAGAACTAAGTAGAATGTCAAAGACTGATTTCGATTTCCTACACCAAAAGGCCCAAATCTGAGAGTAAACTACAACAATTTGGGCGCCAAACTTCAGTCACTTATCATAATAGGGTGAATAAATTGCCCAGGGGCCTGAAAACATTTAGTTGCTCGTGACTTTGTCTTTTCGAACCAAACATAGCACAACACGACTGACCAGTGTAAGCGCCCTTATGACTTTCTGGAGTATGGTGATATACGGGGGAGTGGAATAGTAAAACACAAATCTAGCTGATAGACTTCTTGCTGGGCAGTTAAGACAACTTTGCAGCGCCATTTTGTAAACAAAGTGGTCTAATTGTATCGTTCCAAGTGTTCCCTTACCAATTGCGACCACATGTTATCTCCACACTTGCTGTTCAGTTAAGTGGAAACAGACACAAATCAGATCACAACCCGAAAAAAAAACAGATCGCTCAAGCGAGGGGCGTTTGCTGTTAGCTGCCCCATTAGTTACTTATTTTTGGCCCCAAACAATTCTTAGGACACCGAAAAGCTCCTTCGAAAATGACAAAACGCCACTTAGTTGAAAAAAAAGAATCATAGAAAGCCTTGGAGTTTTTGAAGAGCGTATATAAACCCAAACAAACTTCTGTAAACACGTCACCCAGCTTCATAAACAGCTATTAATGCCCTCAAGGATTTCCTTCAACTAATCTTTTGTGAAGTAGAGGTAATGACTAATGCTTGTATAGATCGAGGACCCTTGTTAGGTCCTGGAAAGCATATTAGGCCGGAAACTGACCAGGCGTCCGATTATTTTACGGCGCTTTGGAAACATCCACAGTTTATCAAGTTCACAACCAGGGCAATTCTTCTAAACATTTATTCGAATGATTTACAAGCATAATGCGAGAAACGAAAACTGAACAAAAACACAGAACAGCTAGCATAACTTCTTTACTTGAATCTTTCAAGCTGAATAATTTTGGAAAACAAGTGCTTTCACCCAATTTCTTATACCGGCACTTCTTAAGTCAGGAAAAAGAAACATTTAAATATCAAAACGGCAGACTAAGACTTTGTTCCCATCAAAAACTCACTCTTAAAGTACTATTTCAGCGCTGCAAGTGGCCTGATCTAAATCTGAAAACTGGATCTGTGATCTTCACACGCTACAAGACGTGTGAACAAATAGTAACCCAGTTGTAGTTGTGGTTTGTTTACAACTTTGGCTTTTTACCACACCGAGGACGGAAACTATCTCACGAAAATACTCTCGAAATCAAATACTACTATTTGAACTCCGGTCCACAATACCATCGTAAGTCACGAACTTAAAAAAATCATCTGGATAAAGGTCATCTGAAAAAAACTCCAACTCTAACCTCATAAAAACCTCGAAATTAAGAATTGGCAGGGAAGTAGGATTAAAAATGAGGCCAGTTTTAAAATGATAAAATTTTTTAACTTACGATGCGTTATGACTAATCTAACTAGCAAAATAACAACGATTAAAAAACTGTTGACAATTCAGTGTCTCGATATCATACTAGAATCGATTTGCTTTGTTTAGTTTAATTAATAGCTTTATTGCAGTTTAATCTGTAACAAAAACCAATTTCATTAGGATTTGAAAAGGAGGTCAATGTCCTCCGGTGGATTAGGTTAGTTGAGTAAAATTGTCTTGCGCAGACATGCGTGCGCAGACTTCAATAGCGTCACAGCTTTGGAATGCAAGATGCTCTTATTATTTATTGATACAAACGCCAATAACAAACAGAGAATATATTTTCTTGCGAAATGACGGATTAGTTTATTGACATTTTTGACAAAAATGTTGACATGTGCCGGCGTAGGATGTGCCAAAAATTGCAGTAATTTAACTTTTCATCGAAAAAATTTTAGGCCTAAAATTTTCTAATTGATTGGCTAGGCTAGCACATTGCACCTACTTTGCAACAAACATTCATTGCTTGCGAGAGATTGTCACTAGACTAGATAAACAACAGTTTTAATCAGTAAGTGTGTCGTCAGACTTATTATTAGCCAGACAACACCAAATTATTGAGAGCAATTTTCTAATTAGTCTAAAATTAATAAATAAGACTTCAAAGGCACTTACCAGAAATGAACGATTTGGGTACAAATTCTTGTCATTAAGAATACTTGAAAAAATTATATCTTTCTTGTATTTGTGTTTTTGTAACTATTATAGTTTTCGTAATTTCGAAGACAATCCAGTTTTCTATAAAGGCAAAATCAGGATTGATAGCTTAAACTCAAGTCAATTTGGTGTGAATAAGACAAGGCAGTTGTGGTATGTGGTAAATGATGGTAAAGTATGTGTATCTATTTTTACCATAATAATCTATACTGGTATACTAATTACAAACAGTGAGAGGTCGCAGACATACAAGTCATCATCCCATGTTGAACATAATTATCACAGTGAGAAACCAATGCCATTAACCAAATACCTGCACTACATTGAGCCAGTGTCTCTACCAAAAACCTGTTTCAATCAGTATTCACGACAGGAGATTAGCTTTTCATAAAACTATCTCCACCAAATACTTCCACCAATCCGTTTCCAGCAATCTGAAACTTGGAATTTATCGCCTTTTGTTCGACATACTTTCCAGAAGACTACAGTATTAATAATGATTTGATATCATTTTATGGGATATCAAAATTGTAAATGATACTCAAGAAGATTATGTTAAAGGTCAGCTGCAGAACGCCGTAAAAATGGGAAAATTTTCCTGTCAGTCCTTCACCAAAAGATATGATTTGATCCGAAAGACAAGGCTCAAAGATATACCATATTAAGCCCCAACTGTTTTGGGAAAACAGCCTAATATTAATGACAAAGCTTAATTTAATTTTCATATCTCTAAATTATTTATTTAATATTATCAAAATACCATTTGTTGAGCAGTTCCAACAATGTCTACTCTGACAGCGGGCGTCAAATGAAATAATAAGGCCATTGCTTCATGAGCACATATGCTGCTATTAGATTTGCACTTGGCCCTGAGTTTGATTGACAAGTTGTGAAGTATTAACTATCGATTAAGTTCCTTGGGATAGGTTGAGTAGGACATACCAGCAGTTGGTAAAGAGCAAACAGCCTCAATTTCAAGTCAACCACCTCCAAAACAAGGACGCAGAAGCCAACGCACTTTGCAAACAGTCGCGTGTATTAAACTACAAACTTCGTTTGTTTAGAAAGAAAGCACATTTGCTTAAGATTTAGGAGAAATCTAAACCCAAAAAAGAACCATCATTAAATACAAACTCTATAATATGAATGAGTGGACCGTAGATACAAAACTGGATTTCCTGAATTCAAATATTGATGTTTTATTTCATACAGCTAGTGAGTTTTCTATTTCTGTCTGTAACATGGACCTTGCCTGGCCACTCAACATCCTAGGTTTCGCACCATTTTATCCCTTCATCCGTAATCGGATAAAACTCAAACTCAATATAAAATTAGCATCGCAAGAAAACTAAACAAGCGGTAAAAAATCAAAATTACCTGAGCAGAAACCCTTTAAACCATGCTATGAGACCACTAAGCTGATCTATATAGACCAAAACCTATGAAACCAAATAAAATAGAACGAATTAAATTTCAAACATAGAAGCGAAGCGGAGTTTCCCAACACTTGCGATACAATTAAAACATTGCATTAAACGATGTTGAATAGGAAAAAAATAGAAGTCAATTTTTCTGAAAAAATGACTTGATAACAGTCGAAAGAACTATATTACAAAAATGTATTATTTTAATTTGGATGAGGCTCATAAACAGCCTTAGCTAGTATCGAGAATCAATGACCGAGCGGCAAATAAACTTTGGTGAATATTCGTTAAATCGAACACGACACAGTGAAACTAGTCATGAAAGATTTCAAGCTACGAAGTTTTTTTGAATCAAAATTTTTGCTACACATCCCTCCTAAAGCAAGCAAAAAGATATTGAAAAAATCACCCGAGAAGTTGCGCAACATAAATCAACAAAAAACAAAACCGGCCGAACACTTTTAACGAAAAAAAAAAATTCAAAATCGGACTTGGTAAATTTACAAACTACAGAACAATTTTTAATTATATTACTAGAAGCTCATCTAAACATACTCATTGGGTTTTGAATTAGCAGCTGTGATACAGGTTGAAATGGGTGATTTCAAAAATTGGGCTTCACCCAAAACCTTTGCTGTTTCTATAATGAAATAAGTGGAACGCATTTTTTTTAG